ACCAAGCCCTTACTGGTTTTGTAGTTGTTCAAGCTCCTTCAAATGATGACATTTGAAAACAAGATCGTCAAGGCCACAGATTGATGTTTTCAATGCAAAATGCTTAAGAGGAATGAAGAATGAAATTTTGCTTTATGGAAATAGCTTTATCTTTTTTTTTTTAATTATGTTTTCACTCTGCTCCCGTTTTGATTATATCATTTCTCAATGTTTATTTATTTAATATTTGCGGACGGAGCTCTTTGATTTTCTTTTTCTTTCATCTTCTTCAGCTGTTTATTTTATTTATGTCAATATTTGTTCATTGTTTTATTTCTTCATATTTATTTATGTATTTATTTCCGTATCTATCTATATATGGTTATTCGTATCTATCTATCTCAGCCTACTCATGTCTATCTATCTATCTATCTATCTATCTATCTATCTATCTTATTTTATATGCATCTATTTCATTTCTATCTATCTATCTATCTATCTATCTATCTATCTATCTATCTATCTATCAGTCTGTCTTAGTTTATATGCATCTCTCTCATTTCTGTCTATCTATCTATCTTAATTTATATGCATGTATTTCATTTCTATCTATCTATATTAGTAATTATTAGCTGGTGAAATGAAACTTGATGGGAAGTGGGTAAAAACGGAAAACATAATTACCTTCTAAGTATCCGATGAAGGGGGTGTCCACTAAAAAATGAAAAAAGAAAAAAATCAACGGTTTAAATAGATTTCGCACCGTTGCGATTGGCTGTTGGTCAATCTCCTATCAAATGTGTGATAACGGGGTATATTTATAGAAGTCAGTGTCTACAAGCATTTTTTAGAGGGAGTTTCAGAGTCTGATCAGCTCTGAGGGGGTCGATTTGGCGAGGCCAGTATGATGTTTGAAAGACCCGAAACTGCCCAATGATCCATTTCCAGAACATCACTGACGACGCCCTCTAGCGCTAAAAGAGCGTATATTCAAATCAGTGTCATCTGTGTCACTCTATCTATCTATCTATCTATCTATCTATCTATCTATCTATCTATCTTAGTTTATATGCATCTGTCATTTCTATCTATCTATCTTAGTTTATATGTATCTATTTCATTTCTATCTATCTATCTATCTATCTAGCTAGCTGTTATAACAGAAACCGGTTGATGCAATAGCCCGGATGTACTGCCTACGGATGAGCGTACCTGCCTTCGAGCGCATATAAAGTCAGTGACAGCGAACAGGAGGAGGGACGAAAAAAGTTGGTTTGCAGCGTTCGAATTAGCAATCGTTTTATTTTTGCTATAACCTTTTGGGTCGAGTTTAAAGATATGTTTTTAAATTCCGATGTGAACTTTATTGAATATGTTTTTCCATTATTTTCTGCCATCTTTCAGGTAATCCCATAACGTCTTCACAGAAAGTTCTATCTTCTTGAGAAGATAACTGCTCTAGATCTTTGCTCAGAAAGAAAGAAGTTAAATTTTCTGCACAGATTTAATCATTTTTCTTTCAGTTTCCGAAAGAATTAATATAAACACATATTACACTTTATAGTATTTATTAAACAGTATATTTATTTATTTTCGTCTAACATTCGAGAAATCTTATTAAAGAAAAATATGCGCTCTCTGGCGGGATGCAAACCTGCGTTCCCCAGAAGGAAACCATCGTCAGACCCGACGAGCTTTAAACGACGATCAAGCAAGGTCTGAATAGTGCCTTTAAGCGAAATCCTTCTCATCATATATTCCTTGAAATTATCTGCTCAGTTTCATATCCAAACATAATCACTTTAAACGTTATTTTTATTAGATACACATATTTGAGTAGACGATCTGTTTATTTATTAAACAGTATAATTATTCATTTTTGTCTATCTACCTGAATATCTTGTTAAAGAAAAAAATGCGCACTTCAGCAGGATTCGAAACTGTGTCCTTTTTGACAGTGAGAAACTGTTATTAGATCTGACATGCCTTAATCTACTCAGACACACAGAAGCTTTGCGGATCAAGCAAGGTTTGAACAGTTCCTTTAAGTGAAATTCTTCTCATTGTAAATTACTCAAAATTATCTGCTCAGTTTCGTATTCAAACGTAAACAAATTAATTTTCTAAATAAATAATGGATTATTTATTTATTAATCCGACAGATTTTTATCACTTTAAATTTCATTCTTAGTGAATGCTCATATTTGAGTAGACGTTCGGTTTATTTATTAAAAATTATATTTATTTATTTTCGTCTACAGGCCTGAATATTGGTGAAATCTTACTAAAAAAAATCATATGAAAAATATACTGTTTGTTAAATAAACAGGGCTTCTATTCAAATATGAGTATCCACAAAAAAGAACATTAAAGTATGTTTTAATTTCTTCTATTGATATATTTTCTGCTTTATCTTTTTTTTTTGTTTTTTTTTACTTATGAATGAACATCAAGCATATACAGAAGTTCAAATATCTGAGAAGCGAATGGAAAATGCAACACCGAGATTCGAACAAGCATTAGACAAGGGAAGCGTTTCAAAATCTAAGCAAGGGGCAGAGAAACGGAACAAAAGAGTGCTGAATTGTTATGTAATATCCACCCCTATTATATGACAGTGAATTCTGGAAAATCTACCCGCGAATAAAGAAAAAGAAAAGACTAAATGCAGCAGAAATATGGTTCTATAGAGCTGGTGTTTCAATGTCAGGTGATCATAAGCCTAGCTGTGCTTGAGAGAACAATTTTTGTATGTCTTTAAGGTATGTGCTGTCAGGGATTCCTTCAAAGAATCTATCAGAACCTATTTCCAATAAACCCCAGTTCCCCAATCACAATTTTTATTATTGATATCTTAATATACCATAATTTTTACATTCCCACTTCAAGATTTCAAAATCCTTGTATCTTGATAAATTTTTGAAGATCTTCAAAGATACATTACCGTCTTCTTCTTCTTCTTCTTCTTCTTCTTATTATTATTATTATTATTATTATTATTATTTCCTTTGATCTCTGGTGTATACTCAGTTCTTTTCGGGTCCCTCCCGGAGACCTAAGGTCAGAAATGGCATCATGACGTTTTCCATTGACCAATTGAAATAAAAACACATATTTTACATAGATAAAGCCCTTCGTAAAGTGTGGGCTGTACTCCTGGGAACACTTTTTTGTATTTCTTTAGGGCATAAGCTAACAGGAATCTATTCAATGAGTCTACTAGAATCTTTTAGATTTCAACCCTAGGGCTCCAACTACAACAGGGATTGTTGATGTTCTCATGTGCGACATTTTTGAGATTTCAATGTCAAGGTCCTTGTATTTTGATAGCTTTTTGAATATCTTCAAAGATACCTTGCAATCTGCAGGGTATTATTATTATTTGAGAGCGCAGCAAGCCAATAAAGTTTCGCTTAGAATACAAATATACATAACCCAATGCAATGTAATTGTCGTGACACACTGTATCTGATAAAGGTGACCCAGCTGCATGCGAAAGGTGTGCAATATATTGACAGAGTTTGACAAACACAGCGTATAACATTGCAGGTGGACCAGTTAGAAAAAAAAACTGATCTGGTAACAAAGTTCGTACAAGTGGTCTCCGATTAAAAGTATTCCTAATCATCTAGACGTGACACCCACATCGCCTCATAACTTCAAACTTAAAAACAATCTCCGCTTGATACCCGGACATGATTCTCCTCTGGTATTTGCAGCAGTCCCATGGGGACATGAGCTACTGGCTAAGCTTTTATTTTTCATCTTGAAATAACGTGTAAGAATAATAATTATGAAAAGAGATTATGCCAATCTTGTTCAAACTCGAACAAGTTAATTTTTTAAGAAAACCAGGATTCAATTTTTAAAAAGTAAAAAAAAAAGATTGTAAAACGAAACGTAATTCCAATAATAACAGTTACAATATAAGATCATTAAAATTTTGAATTCAACAGGTTCCTGATACTCGTGGCCTTGTGTCAAACTAAGATAATCTTTGGAATTGCGTACAAGATAAGTAACATCTATCAAAATGTTTATAATGATTATTATATTGGTGCAAATGTTTCCAGGAATTCTTGAAAAAATCTTTTATTTCTAAAAGCAACTCCATAGCATCATTTTGTAGCCATCAAAATATTCTTGTCTTCACAAGAATTATGGACTGAACATTTCGACCATTTCCATTCAGTTTTCATTAGACTATTCAGAAAAGTACGCCAAATCAAACTGACAGCTGAAGCCGAATTAAACAGAAAGCAAGAAGAACAGACTAACCATCAATTGTAAGATGATAGAATGTACGGTGGTCAGTGAAAAAAATAATCTAAGATGCTAACTACGAATTGGAGACACCAAAATGAAGCAAGTACAAAATTTTATATATTTAGAAAGAAATCTGAATATAGTGAAAGATGCCTTTCAAAAGTATTAAGAAACAGGAAAATTTCGTTAAAAACATAGAAAAGAGTACCGGACTGTTATATAATATCGGTTCTCTCATATGGCAGTGAATCCCAGATAATCTCGCCACGGATGAAGAAAAGACTTGTGGCTATAGAAATATGTTTCTACAGAAGAATGCCGAGAATGTCATGGACTGAACATGTGAGCAACGATGAAATCTTTGAGAAAATGGAAAGAAAATGAACACGTATTCTTAAAATCAGAAAGAGACAATTAACATTTTTGGGGCACATAACGAGGAAAGGAGGCTTGAAAAATTTGACGCTTATGGGATATGTTGAAGGCAATACTGATTTTTTTACGGTCTATCAATCTTTTGCAGGTTATTTAAAGCCATAAAATCGATTGTAAGAGCTTTTTGGAGATAATAATGATTTACTCATACAAGTCCTACTAATTAATCCATAGCTGGAGGGAGAAGATGCGATTCATACTTTTCTCAAGGGTATTTGCGCGTAAGGGAATATAACGAACTCGACTGGAATTGGAACTCCGCTCTTTGATTTCCAATTTTTAACCGTTATCCACTACACCAGCCGCACACCCAAGTTCATAGCGCCTGGTATTCCTAAACGGTCACCCATCTAGGTACTGACTGGGATCGTCGTTGTTTAACTTCGGTGATCGTACGGGAACCGAAGTTTCAACGTGATATGGCCATAAGTCTTCGTTAAAGGCAAGCTTGAGAGAGAAAAATCAGCGAATAATCTATCTAAGGAACATGTGTACATGGTTTGCACAACAGGGATTAGGAGTGATAGTAAAAAGATAAACATTGGTAAGAGCTTACAAAGGACAGGAAGTTGTGTAGAACTATGCTCGCCCACATCCTGAGGAGGCGCAGCATATAGACGAGGAAGAAAAAGACGATTTTATGGTCACTCCTTCGTTAATCTAGATATTCCGTCATAAAATAACAATTTCGGCTTTAATTCGATGAATCAAAGTAATTTTCAAGGAATTATCCGACAAGAGCTTTCAGTAGATTATTTAAAAAAATGTACCTGATCAAACTGATGGCTGAAATAAAATTAAAAAGAGGTTGACCATCACTTGAAAGCTGTTGGTTGATAGTCACGTTATAAAAACATTATTCGGAACCATCAATCAAGCTAACAAGAAATTGAAATATGTTTTCGAATTGATATTTATTTGTGAGGGAGATTGATCATGATCCAATCATTGGGTCAATCGGGAGAAGTGTGTCTAACATTGAAAAACCTGAAACCCACGCTGATCCAGATTATAAAATAATTTATAACTTGCCCCTGTGCATCGGAAAGGTGTATGTTGCGAAAATCTGTTGGGACTGCTGATAAGACATTGGATGTTACATGCAGCGAAACAATTGAGAACATGGGCGCGAATGATTTGGGAAATACATCGCATGTGGAGGAACTTTCCATCCGGTATCATGATCCTTTGCAGTGTTTTCCACATGAAAACAGGCATTTTCTGCACATGCGTTAAGAAAAAAATTTTTTTTCGTCCACCAGTGTCAGAGATCAGTGTTGAAGACTCGATGAAACCAAAAATTTCGAATGCTGACTTTCTAGGTATTCTGCTAGAAAGATAAGCTCTGTGTACTTTGATGATCAGCAGAATTAACCCATTGCTGGAGGGACAAGATGCGATTCATTCTTTTGTCCTATGCAACTCTTAAGGCCTCGTGTGTTACCAAGTCTTGGGTATGACGGTAAACTACATCCGACAGCAAGGCATTTGATCAGGAAGTTTTGGGGAGCATGGGACAACTTCTTAATTGCTAGTGTTCTCAGGTCCACCCTGACCCGGGGTGGTAGCACCTGTCAGGGTCCAAGCTTTGGCCAAAAGGGATCAAAGCATTATGAAAGCATAAAAATAGGATTTAATACCAGCAATAACTTTTTGGAAAAATTATTATCAACAATACATTTTTGGAAAAAATTATTACCAGCAATAAAAATCTTCTAGGCATTAAATAAACCATTGAGGTTGATATGCCGTAAAACAAAACAAACTAAGTCTAGTAAATATAAAACAATATCACAACAAGTATGATAAGATTCTAGTTGATAAATTCCTAGAAAAATTCGTTACCTTTAATTTTTGTCAGTAGCAAGTATTTTTTTATTTTACTGAACTTTATTTTCTATAGCATTAGAACTGAATGTATAAAATATGGTTCAAATCTAAGGGATATCACATTAATGATTACTGTTAATTATTTTTTCTAATTTACAAAAATAAAAAATCCCCAAAAAACACAAATCTGGGCAAAAAGAAACATAGAAGAGTCGCTATTGAAGTTTCAGAAGAAATTCGTGATTTTTCTGGCAGAAATCCTTCATGAAAGCGGATGTGTGTTCTTTCTTATTTTTATTCTTTTCTTCAAACTTTCCAAAACTTATAATTCTGTTAGGGCATAAAAATAACCGGAAGTTTATTCGTAATTACATATTGTCATCAATAAGATCCTCAAGACCTTCGTCTTTTATGAAACAACGAAACTGTGTGTATTAACGTCTGTGTTTGTTTCCAGACCCAACTCTAGCTATACATTTTATCTATTGTTTATATGTTGCCTAAATTTTTAAAAACTCCAAAAATAAAACTAGAAGTAAAATTTTATTTATAAAATGAAAAAAATATTTTAACATAATTTTTGTTTATGTCTAACTAATGTTTGTCATGATATTCTTTTTACAACATCCAGACATGTTTGGATTCAACATTGCCGAGATTAAAAAAATCTTACAAAATCGTTTTGTACAATTTCTTCGCAGGTTATCACCTCAAGCTATAGTGTATGGCAAGGTAAGACATATATGCACAAATCCTGATGTTAAGTAATACTTAACATATAAAGTGATTATATTTTCTTGATAATAATTTCCTTAATAGATGAGCAGTTCTTGCAAGAAGGGGGCTATCAGGGACCTAATTAATGTATTTGTCTCTACCCTGCATTTCAATTATTAAAACAACAGTTTTAAGCTGCAATTTCCATTTCACAATCATTATAATTACTTAATATTAATTCTATAATAGATATATTTTTTATCTGATGTCCCATACGATATATATGAGTGGGCATGTTTTTATTTATAGTTATTAATCATTCTGTCTAGTCTAATAATGGTATTATTGTTGTTTTGTTATTATTATTATTATTATTGTTGTTGTTGTTGTTTCCTTTGATTTCTAATTTCTTTCCGGATCCCGACCAGAGACCTAAGGCCAGAAATAGCACTATGACATTTTCCAATATGCACTTTTGAAAAAGATTTTATATAGAGAAAGCCCTTCGTAAGGTGTGGGCTCTATTTGTGAGAACAATGAACATTTTTTTTATTTCTTTAAGGCATGGGCTACGAGGTATCCCTTCAATGAGTATATTGAAATCTTACCCAATCAATCCAAGAGTTCCAACTACTAATGGAATTCAAACTTTTCTCAAGAGCATTAAGGCGAAAGTAAAGACAATAGAACAGACTGGAATTTGAACTCAGCTCGTCGATTTGCCCCGCAGATCACCTTCACGCAACTCAAATACAGTGTAGTACAAGGTAATAAAAAAGTAACCTGAAATTTTAAGGGTTTTATGCAGCATCCAGCAGTTTTTCAGCATTGTTGAAAAAATGATATAGTTTAAAATTTTTGTTCATATCGTCCGGACAATTAAATGGCCACCCCTTGCTTTCACCATAGAGTTTAATCTCTTCACAATTGAAGTACAAGAGTCCTTCAGCAGCTCTTCGCTCAAACTGTAGCACTACGTCATAACAGCTTCCTTCAGGTCTAACCCATTTGAGTATGAGATACGCGAAACATCGCTCTCCAATATGGGCCATATCGCGAAGTTCATAGCATTAATATCACGGTTTGCTGGAGGGCAAATTGACTTGTGAAAAAGTCCACGGAATTGTTCCACAGTGAAAAACTTCTCGTCCGACTAAATGAAGACTTTGTCTACGGCACGCTGCATCTCCCCCGGCATTTTTCCCTCTGCTAAGCCGTTTTTGCTTGGGGTCACTTGAGAGCAGCTGTCGTCGCTGAATCTTGTATGGTTTTAGCCCTGAATATACCAGCTCTCTTGCCATCTTCCTCATTTTTGTGAATTTCATTTCACCCTCTTCTTGACGGCTTCAGTGACTCTCCAGGTACGAACTAAACTGTAATTTTTCCTGGAATTGGATTTGCGGAGGTTGGTTGCTCATCTTGAACATTTTTCCACTCATTAAAAACATTTTTTCTGCAAAAATTCAACTGTTTTATTAAACCCGATATTATTCGTGTTTTGTGTCCTGAGTGAGCGATAAAAATAGCCAAGAATCGTCTCCACATATCTTTTATTTCAGTCGCTACACTGTCGCCCCCCACCTCACAGCATTCCTCCAAGAACCGACACGTTGATGAGAAAACTAGAAAAAATTCATATTTTTGCGAAGGTTGTTAAATAACTCGGAACTATTTGTAGCAGGATATTTTTCTGTTCACAATCGAAAATACCTTTTTTACGTTCCAGTTCCAATTTGAACAACTTTTACCCACATTTAACTCAGAGCTAAAAGTATAATTCTCAATTTCAATGTTATTTCATATTCGCTCATTTCATCTTGGGATAGATCAACATTACACCTCCAACTTCCTATATTCTCAAGCTTCTTTAGTATAAAACATTTTGGTAATGATAAAATTAACCGTTTGCAACAAGAAAATATTTAGCATTCATAGACCGAACAGTTAGTGTTACTGTCGGCTGACATTTATAGACTCTTTTTATTAAAAGAGTTTTTTTTAAAGGAAATTAGACTTATCAAGTCCAGTAACTGTTATAGGTCTTTCCAGTATTGATGGAAGTTTATTTTCCAACTTTTTGCTTTTGGTATATGGAAAGTTAACTGATTGGTTATATCATTGTTTTACTTCTAGTTGCATATGTTACAAATTACTGTTGTTGCTGTTGTTGGAATGCCTCAAGTGATGTGGTTTTCATTATTTGGTAAAGCTCTTGTGATTTTGTTAGCGCCAGTCTATAGGGTCTGATGAAGCATCGTCTTCTTTAAGGGATATAAGAGTAATTCATTTGAAGTTGTTTTGACTATTGAGCATATTTATTTAATTATAACGATTAAGGATAATGTACATTTATTTTGTTAACAGTATTAGAGAGAGAGAGAGAGAGAGAGAGATCGCGCTTTCATGATTTGTTCCCGTATCTTGTTAAACGGAGAACTTGCAAGGATCAAAAATTTTTTTAAAAACAATGGTTATCCTACTAATGTCATTAAACGCGTTATTGATAATAAAATCAGATGGTTTAAAGAACCAGTGGTTCTAGGACCTAGTCGCTGCCCAATTTATTTGATGTTACCTTGGCTAGGCAGGAGGTGTCAGTTGCTTGCTGACAGAATGTCGCCTTGTGTTTCTTCGTGCTACAACGCTGACAAGTTGCGTGCTGTGTTCTAGACGAGATCCGCGTTTCCATCCTTCAGCAACTATCGGTTGTCCTATTTTCAGAATAGTTCAGTAATATATAAATGTAAATGCCGTTGTGACGCGGTGTATATAGAACGGGCCAATCAAAAGCTAGAAACGCGTATGACTCATCACGTGACTGCCTATTTGCGTTCTAATAGTCAGAGTCGTTTTAAAAACCAACTCAAGCGGTGCATGACTCG